TTTTTTTTTTTTTTTTTTTTTTTTTTTTTTTTTTTTTTTTTTTTTTTTTTTTTTTTTTTTTTTTTTTTTTTTTCAATTTGCAGATGGGATGTTTCGTGACTTTGCTTTCTACATGGCAAATGCCGAATTACAGTTTGTTCCCAGCCTATAATAAAAATCTGTTTGTTTTTTTTTTTTGTTTTTTTTTTGGGTGTGTGTGGGGGGGGGAGAAGAGGAGGGGGGAGGAAGAAAAGAAAAGAAAAGGAAAAAAAAGAATTGGAGTTTGTTAACTTTGTTTGATGACAGGTGGTGACATATGTATGTTTGATGTTCGGTGATGTCATCCTTAAAAACAAAGTTGGCCCCTTAACCCATCACCCATCAAACTTGTTTTCGTCTGGTTTAAGACATGATCAAGCGACAGACAGAAACGACGCAAACACAGTTCATCACAACTACGTTCCGGCCAGAGTTGGTGAAGGTCGCAGACCGAATTTATGGCGTTTCTCACAAAAACAGAGTCAGCCGAGTGGATGTCATCCCACAAGAAGAAGCGCTGAGGTTCATTGAGGCCGACCATTCGCAGAATCGTCCGTGAGTCTCTTCAGCCACTTCCCACTCACATATGGATCGCGATTCGCTAAACCTGGGTACTGCAGTTAAGAGTCAAATACAGAGACTCCTGCTTCGGACCGCCAATCCTCCCGCTCACATATGGATCGCTAAACCTGGGTAAAAGTGGGAGTGCAAATACACAGAGTACTGCATGCACCGCCAATCCTCCTGTGTCCGTCTCTTCCGTCATCAGTTGAGCAAGCAAGCACTTGAGCGGTTTCTGCTACGTTGTACCATTGTATTAATTTCTTTGAATCCTCTTACTAGGCTCTTAGGCCACACTCAGACTAGGACTTTTTTCTACTAAACTCTGGACCAGATTGCGGTCAGATTCATCCAGGTCTGACGGTAATTGCGGTCAGATACATTTAGGAACGTACTACTAGTTGTGTGTGAGTATCCCCTTAATTGTGTGATATTGCTAACCAAGTATTATATTTTGAGAGAGAGAGAGAGAGAGAGAGAGAGGGGCGAAATCCAGGAAAAGATCACTGACGGGGGAGGAAATGCAGCAGCACAAAAGCGAGAGTGGAGGTACGTCCTTCCTTTCGGACGTAATCAATGCAGCGGCAGCCCACTTGGATCTCCCGACCAGAATGGGGAAAAGTGTAAGAATGTGTCTTACACCAGCAACTGTGGATGTTTGAGGCCAGACATCAGAGCCTTGGGCCCTCAAGTCTGTGCTCTGGAGACTGCCAGGGGGGGGGGGGGGG